GTTAAATATTCTCTTTTCCATTTCTGATGTTCTATAAAAGTACACTTTAAGATCCTTGAACGGCAAGAAAATTCTACTTTTAAGCTTCACTATATGGCCGACGTAGGCAGTAATTAAAAAACATTTCCAATGTTGAGAGGATCGCGGCAACCAGCGGACCTCAGAGACTAACCGCAGCCAGAGCTAATGTTAGCCCATCTGCAGCCGCCCTATTTCGGCATAGCCGTTAATGAAGGACCGCTGGCTCTGATGGCGATTTTTTGTTTTATTTGGCAAAATGTTTATTTGATTTGCGTTTATCCGATTTTGTTAACTATTATTGCCCCACTAAATGGAAAATGTAAGAATTTAATATCATCTAGGGACTGTTAACATTAGTAGATACGCAGCTCCAGACAAGCTGAGCATGTTGTGATGCCACAAGTACGCATCTGTTCCAATAGACACATATTTATGCTGCGTGCTCCCGTTCTCCACAATCCATACTTTCCTGTGTTCTTGCTCAAGAACATACTTGGCGAGGACACGAGTCCGTACTCGCATTCTAGTGAATTAAGAGACAGCTAATGTGTAGCAGGTGTCAGGACCATTGCTAGGTGACACATGACTACAAACATTTTGTTAAACACAAATGCATCCTTTGCCCACTAATGTAACGAGTTTGTTCACACTAGAGCGACGCGGGTAAATTGTCAGGTCAGTTTAACCCTGGTAATCAGTTCTGGTTTCATTCACACATTTTCCTGAACCAGTAAACCAACTGGCTAAAGTTCTGAGAGAGAAAGGAGCTGAAGTGAGAATACTGAAACAGCCTTTACTGGTCAGGCGATCTCAAAGATGTAAGAAAGTCAAAGTGATATTTAGTAAAACATTTAAAATGTGTTGTTTTTAAGAGAGTTTAATAAAACCGATTGGTAGAAATGAGGTTAACATAGAAAGCCTTACTGAGGCTCAATGACTCCGTGCTGTGGGGTGATGGTGAGGCAGTGAGCCGGCCATGAAAGGTCAAAGGTCAACTCTCTGGAGGTGTTGTTCCGAATCTGGACCTGGCTGGTGCTGGACGGACCATCTGCACAAGGGACAGACAACCGTTAATCCTCCGCATCTTCTTCCATTCAGTCCATTAAAATAGACTGAAACTCACTGATGGTTGGAGCTGCGAGGACGAGCTGCTGCGGGTGGATGATCCACGACTCGGACCGTCTGTGTTCTGGTTCAGAAGCCTAAGAGAAGAGCCCAGGATTAAGGATGGTCGATGTACCAAATGTTTAAAAGAAAAACATTAAATCTGTTCATTCTTTTCCATAGTTTGTGTAAAACTGAAGGTTTAGATCGACAAACTTTTCAAAGCACATTTAAATGAGTTGCTGGAAATTCTCCAGCTTGTATCAAATTACTGAAAGTCAATAAATATTTAGGGTTGTTTATTAAATTTCTCTTTGTGTCTGTTTTTTTTTTTTTTTTTTTTTATATGACTTTAAACTATATAGTTAAGGAACATTTCAATTCAGTTTATTTATATAGCGCCAAATTCACAACACATGTCATCTCAAGGCACTTTACAGTTCAACCAGATCATACATTTCAACTCATTAAATGCATAAAAACCATTCATTAGAGTAAAAGTAGAACCACTGTGTAAAAACCTTAACAGCAATTACAAGGAAAATAAAGATGGGAAGGCCAGAGGACTACAGAAGACTTTTATTTGAAAATACTTACAAAGAAATATTGTGAGTTAATGCATAAATGCATTTATTGTGAACCCAGCACTAATATGGTTTCTGCTGTTTCAGCACCAAGTGATTAATAGTCAACCATTTGCGTCAGTGATAAATTACAGTCTGCAGCCTGAACACAGCAAACAGTTTGTTGATCTTCCTCTTAAACGGTATTTGAGGTTTTTATGCTTAAGGATTCAGTTGTAAGGAACTAAAGGAAGTTTGAATAAACTGCATTTCTGCAAAGTAAAAATGAAAACAAGGTTTAAAGTCTTGCATCTTTAAATATTGTTTTTACCTTTTTGCCAAAAGTAAGCAGATCTATATTATACCCCATATAGGTTGAATAAGCTGAATGCCAGTATTACTGACAAATGCCAGAGGTGTAGGACGTCTGCATACTTGTTAGGATCATCTGCAGCAAAAAAGTATATACTTAAAAACTGGAAATCTATGGAGCCTCCAAACAAGAAACGTTGGTTCAATAAACTGCCATACTGTCCTGCTGAAAAAAATATTAATTCGTTAAGTGGGACATAGGCTAACTTTAACCGGATATGGACTCCCTTCCAGGACATATTAACCAGATTAAATCCTAGATCAGTATTGATCTTTACTGTTTTGTTTCAACTATTCCATTATTTTTGTTGTATCTTTTTCCTCTTAACTCTGGCCTTTTGAAAAATATGGTTAATGCTAAATGTAATATTACTACATGTGTTGCTAAATGGAGAGACAGTTTTTTTTTTTAGGTTCCTTATTTCCCTAACAGAGAACTTTGCTCTCAATCTGTAAGTTTACTAGTGTCTCCTAGAATTTCTAAAAGTAGAATGGCTCCTCTCCTGTGGAACCAACAAACCAGTTTTAGTCCGTGAGGCAGACACCCTCTCTAGTTTTAATGGTTCTTTTTTGAAAGCTTATAGTTAGAGTGGCTCAGGTTATCCTGCGCAATCTCTATAGTTATGCTGCTATAGGCTTAGACTGCTGGAGGACATAGGGACGTCTTTGTCATCATTCCATCTCTATTCTCCCAATCTGCAGAATCTGTTAGTTCAATCTCTAACGCTATGCTCTCTCTCTGCTTTTTCTCAAAGTAGCTTCATCTGGTCTGTTCCTGTTTGGCTGTGCCACCCTCCTGGAGAGAAATATCAGCTGTGCTGCTGCCATCAACACCTTTGTTTATAGACGTTTAAGCTTGGCCTATTTTTTCAGTATAGTCCTGTTTCTCTGACTGTGACTGACATGATTTGCTCTCTTTGTCCTCTGATGTGGGAGCTGCCTCGGAGCTCGTCTGTCTGGCTGTGTGTATCCTGGACGGGATCACCTTTGGAGCCAGTTGACAAGTTCCTTTGTATCTCTGCTTCTTTCTGTATGTCTGCCTCTGTCTCCTTGAACCCCAGTCGGCCTGGGCAGCTATAGCAGCTCTTTGCTTTGCTCTTTAAACTCCATCATAAAAGTAAAAGGTACATTACCCTTTTTGTATAGTTTTCGGCTCTCCTTGTCTATCAGCAGGCAGCGTGTATTAGAGTCAATCTACTGCAGATTGATTACTTAATCAGTTTAGCTAGCAATGCGTATGGGCGTACAATGTACGCCCTTTATTTAAAAAATGATTAATTGTGTTGCCCCGTTTTGGGATGTATGGCTTTGGTACGTCCTTTTTCCCTGGAAACTGCTCAAATGTTACAAATTTTATACACAGCAGATGATGGAGCTGCTCAACGCGCCACAATCAGAGGAGGCGGGGAGACAGACACAGCACTGATGCAGAGAGCAATGATAACTCCCCTAAAACTGTATAATGCCTAAATTAACATGTTGAAACCTGCCGACAAAATATGTTCAGTTTTTATTAGTCTAGTGCCTGCAGTTTATACCATATGCCTAAAAACGGCTAACATCTACTTCAGGTCGGCACGAATTGTAGCGGAAAACCCCCAAGAGGCGACCGGACCTGAGGCAGGTGTTGCTGGTTTCCCAGTGACAGCGTCCCACTGATATGTGGGGGTCTGAGTGGCTCCAACCGCGATATAATTTAAAAGGCAGGATTGTAATCTTGATGAACTGACTTCACGGACAGAGTTTGGAGGTGGACTTTCTAGCATAAAAAACATTAGATCTACTTTTTGCCAACTGATCACAGCAAATATAGCAAAGCTGCTCTCTGCCATTGAACGTATCGGGACACACTTTACTGGACCAGTAAAGTCATCTGACCCTAATGTGGACTAGAGTCCTGCATGGGTCGCGTTTTACCAACCCGCACCGGCCCGAACCCGTTCGGATGACTACCGAACCCGACCCGTCACCCGCGGATATCTTCAATTCAAATCCGACCCGTTGATATTTAACCCGCAACCCGACCCGTTAACACATCAAGTAATAGGCTATAGTACGCTGCGCTGCAGAACAACGCCATTAACACTGCAGCAGACGTGTATGCAACTGTGGCCTTTTTGGAGGGAAGCCCACACTGCCAGCAGGGCTTTAAGCTACAATAAGGGTGACCCCAGTGCCTGATTAATATAACATTTCTGATGTCCATAACAACACACATGCATAAAAAAAAAAATCACCAACTACCCGCCCGCACTAAAAAAATATCCGCTCGACCCCGCGTTCCCGTTTATTTTTATTTATGTATTTTTCACCTGCAAAAGAGCATTTTAGCGGGTGACCCGTCGGGAACCCGCGGGTACCCGACCCGTTGCAGGACCTTAATGTGGACAAGCATAAAAAATGAAGCAGCAGAAGCTTTGTTCCTGCTAAAAGTGCATGCATTGTGAACGTTGCATTACACTTTGTGATTGATTGAATTAACCTATGAAACATAATGCTGTCCATAAAAATAAAAAAAAAATCTCATGTCTTCCTTCTGAAATTTTCACCAGTAGTCAAGCACATGCTTCCCATAATCAGGACAAAAGTAGTGTTGTAACAAAGACAAAAAATTGGCTGCATTCCACCTCAAAACGCAGTAAACAGCGCTTACTGTTTACTGCTTATGGAAAATCTTTACAATTTGTACAACCTATGAAATATTCCAGGCTAAAAGCCTGAAATCAGCTGATCACTTCATAATAGACTGATGAGTTTTATGGAATAAATTGTTTTAGACTTTCTCCAACTCTTTACATTTAGGCAAATAAGCACTGAAACAAAAGTGTTTGTTGTACATGTTCAGGTACCTTTGAAGAGGGTGGAGTAACTCTGAGGGCGGGACCCTGTGGACCTTTCACTGGCAGCACATCCAGGGACACGCTGCCATGAGGAAAACCGCTGAAAGAAACAAAAATAAAAGACAAATGTTCAACCTTGACAAAGAGCTTTAATCCCTGCTGGTAAAATCCTCCAGCGATTCATCTAACATAAGCTGGAACAGCCCCAGCCTCCATGATACCTCTTGGTCTGATAACAGTGTCTGTCAGAGGTCAGCTCGCTCTGATCGGCGTTTGAGCCCTTTGTTCTCCCCAGCAGCGTTACAAACACTTTGCTCATGTTGCTGTAGAATATATGTGCCTCGTTGGGCCGCAGGGGAAGGTCATAAGCTACAGAGAGGGGAAACGATGAGTCAGACACAGGAGCAGGTTTGAAAGGCTGCATCAGCATTACGTTAGTCATTAATCTGCTCTTTATAATAACATTTTTCTAAAACAAAATCAAATGCATCTTGTATGAAAATCCATCTTACCTTCTTTAACACTTTCCTCTCCCAGGAAGCTTTCGCTGAAATCAATGTTTTTCAGCAGACTGTTCTCAGACAAGGCCCTCCTCCCAGCCTCTGGTTTTGTCTGAAGCAATCTGCAAAAAGCACATCAGCTATTAAAGGTGTGTCGGGTAGATCCCAGTGCTTCGCGTCAGTGATCCCCCTACGTCGGGTCAGCGATCCCCCCGTACGTCCCCGTACGTATGTCGGTCAGCGATCCCCCTATGTAGGGTCAGCGATCCCCCCATACAGCGGGTCAGTGATCATGGTGGATATGGTCAATCCATTATTACAATGATTTACCGTAGTTTTCGGTCCCACTTTTTTACATGTTTTGGTCGGAGGTACAACCTTTACGTCAGAGGAACTTATAAGTGATAAAAATCCGTCATTGATCTCATAGTGGAGAAATTAATTGTACCACTAATGAAAGATGCTATACCACTAACAGTAATAGGCACTGTATAAGTCACAATCAACCAGAGAACAGAATAAAAAATAACACTACTAATAACTTAATATCTTAAGTTATTCCCTGAAATTTCCATGTAAAGATGCTATATTTGAATGTCACTGCTACGTATAGTCCAGAGAATATGGTAATTATCAGACCCAATTCACAGTCCTAGTAGCATTTATAGAATAAGCATTTAATGATAAATTTTACACAAACTCAATAAGGCGGCATGCAGTGGTGAAGTCTCACCTCCTGTACTGCTGCCTGGAGACCTCATCTCCACAAAACAGACAGACGGTGGCCAAGGGGTCAGACCCCGACTCAGACAGACTCGTTTCTCTTTTGCTGGACTTCATTAGAACTGTGATCACCTGGAGACACAGACATGTCAGAAGGTGCTGCTATAATCAGAAAAACTGAACAAACCTTTGAACTGATGGTGTCAGTCAGCCTCTCACCTCTTGCGTCCTTTCCTGCAGTACAAACTGGGAGGGAGCCAGACTCATGACAGAGGCCGGCATGAGTGATCGGCTCGGGATGTCGGAGAAAGCCACAGCTTTGACAAAGGCTGCTCTAGAGCCCGTGTTCCTCACACACAGGCAAACTTTGCTGACACAGCCAACAGCCACATCAGACAAAGTCGCCACATAGCCATCGCCATATTTCCTCTGGTCCTCCAGGATGATGTTACTTGTGCCGCCATAGCCAGACAGAGGAATCTAAGGACGGAATGAGGACAAAATGAGTGGCCGCTCTTTAAGTAAGCAGAATCAAAAGCAGACTGAGCTTTAAAAAGGTGGATGGATGCAAACTGGATCATTAGAAAAATTTAGACAGCTTCACTCTTCATTTCACACCCGAAAACAAATTCAAACGTCAGAATAAATCCCCGAGGGAAACTTGTCTTCTTGAGAACAGAGGCTGCGTGTTCAAACACTCAACGAAAGCTGTGACTGGTTCCTCATTACTGAAGAGCTCAGGAACAATTGCTTCGATTTTACCAGATCAGAATGGACAAAAAGCGATGCCTAGCAGGAACACTAAGAGCCTTTTATAGATGTATTTAACAAATGGGATGAAGAATGAAAGCGTGAGCTAATTCATACTGATACAGAAATAAACTCATCAAACCAGGGTCACCTTTCAAGGCAGAGACAAAGATAAAGTTTGACATCATCACATCAGATCTATCCCTGAAGTTCCTCTTTTTATTTAATGGTCTTTACATCCTCAAGCAGTTTTCAGTTTTACTATATGGTACCATCTTAATAATAACATGTGAAACAATGGGAGGAGCTTGGAGAAAAACTTTAGAGGTGCATTCAAACCAAACACATTCTAGATGTCAGAAACTCACATCGATTTGGACAGTTGTGGACAATGAAGTCAGTTATCAATGCAGTATTATGATCCTAGTTTTGAATGTGCTTTTCTTTTGACAGGCAGACCAACATAAAATGGGAACTTCCAGTTAAAGTTGCCTTAAAACTACCCATAAACTGGCGGATTAGCGCTTCCGTTCATAGCTGAGGTCTGTGGTAAAAACTGACTTTACCAGAATATAAAATAAAATATATTTGTTTGAAAACTTTTGAAATTTCTATTTTAAGTTAACGTCTGTAGGGATTATAAACCGTTGCTCCTAGGTTCAGTAAGAAAACATTTTTTGTGGAGTACTAATATTCAGAGCATGCTCACTTTTCTTTGAAGACCCTTAAAGGGGTAATAGAATGATTCTATAGGGTATCTGGTGCTGGTCTTTAAGGTCTCTGAATAGGGTGTGTAACATTGGTTGCACTGAAAATGGTATATTTGCTGTTCTATGAGCAAAAAAAAAAAAAAAACATGACCGGGTGATGGTAGCCTGGACACCGGCTCCCCCCCGCCTGTCTTACCGGGCCCCCAGTCCCCCTCCTCCGGCTGAGGACTGGCAGCTCATGGCTCTCTGCTGAGGTCCGTTCCAGTCAGCGGCCCAGCAGTCGACACTTCAGAGATTTGCAGAGAAAGGAGGCGTCGATGGGGTTTTCACTTCTCTGTATGTCCATTTCACCCACTGAACTATCGTTATTCATCTATGACAAAGGAAACATGTTTTGCGTTCTATGACCCCTTTAAATCCACCCCTCCCCCGTCACCTCAGGTGTGCCCCAGGGCTCTGTCCCCTCCTCTTTATCATCTACCTCCTTTCCCTAAGCAGTATCTTCAGCAAATTTAAAATTCACTTCCACTGCTATGCCGATGACACCCAGCTCTACCTCATCACAAAACCATTGTCTTCTCTTCTGCCCACCTCCCTCCCAGATTGCATCTCTGAAGTAAAAGCCTGGTTCACAAACAACTTAGTAGTAAAACGGAAGTTATCCTTATTGGAACTAAATCAACTCTTTCCAACTCTGTCCAAGCGTTTGTATTTTTTTTAATGGTTTTATTCTGTATTTTGACTTTGTTTTTCCCATTGTGGTTTTATCTTTTGTAATGTGACCTTAAGTGTCCATAAAGGCACCTTTGAAATAAAATGTACAATTATTATCATTATTAC